TATATATATATATATATATATATATATATATATATATTATACATTGATTTGAATTAATGAAATGAAGTATCAAATGGTTTTCAAATTTTTTAGTAATTTTCATATTTGATCTATGCATTAAGAACTTTAAATTCAATGGTTGTATCGTTGAAATTTGATGTAAAACATGAGTTATTGAACAGAAAAAATTTAGGTAAACTTACTCATGGAGTAAACGGATCCATTCTCTCTTTCTTTCTTTCTCTTTCTCTATATATAAAGATAGAGATAAAAAGAGAGGGAAGGAGGGAGAGGAAGAAAAAGGAAGGGATCAAATTACTCTACTCAATAATTCAAATTAACAAAATAATCATAAAAATATTGTATATATTAATTCGAATCTATATAACAAAGTAGTATCATATGATTTTTATTTTTTTAAAACAAATTATAAATTTAACATGTGTATTAAAAACTTTTAATTTAATAGTTGAAATGTTAAAATACAACATGTATCATGAGTTATTGAATGAAATAACTTTATCAAAGTTATTTTTAAAATAATTTAATCTCCCCCCCCCCCCTCTCTCTCTTTATATATACCAGAGGGGCTGAGGCACTTCGTGCCTCTAATAATTACACACAGATAAATATTAAAAGTTACAGATAGTTATTTAGAAAGAATATAAGAATCATTTTTTTTAATATTTTAAGGGGAATAATGGTCCACTAAAAAGTAGAGACCAAAAGGGTGATTACCAAAAATATATCTCCTATATAATAAGTATATATATATAGGGGTTATAATTACACCGGTGTAACTTTTACTAAGTATTACATCGCTCAATAACTTTATATTAATTGTGAATTTTGTAAATCCAACTGTTAGATTAAAAGTTAATATCACTTTATACGTGTATATCAAATTTTGTAAAATTGAACAACTTGAAAGTAATCAAATTGTTCATATTTTAGTATATATTGAAATGAATATATTACGTCAATTTTGTTTTATAAAAATGAAGTATCAAATCATCTTGGATTAATATAAAATTTTGTATGTATAATCTAAGAGATATGAATTTTCAATTTAACAGTTGAATTTATAAAATTCACATTTAATATAAAGTTATTAAGCGGTGTAATACTTAGGAAAAATTACACCGGTGTAATTATAACCATCCTTTTATATATATATATATATATATATATATATATATAAATGTTAGATATTTGATATTTGTAATATAATTCTAAAAGCTGATATTCATTTAAAAAAATATATATCATATAATTATTGGGTTTGAAACTATTTAAATTTCTTTCTTTTTAAGCAAAGAGAAAAGAAGCAAATAAGGGTCTTCCGCTCAATCCCCGACATTTACTCTCCTTCCCATTCCCCTCAATGTCTTCTCATGTTCCTCCAAAGAAAGAAAATCACATCCTTCACTTCACGCATTCATCCAAAACTGAATAACATGAAGCAACTCAAAGAGCAATCCCGCTTCGCCCATGAAAGACCGTAGGAAACGCAACGGCGTCGTTTCTTGGAGCACGTTCTTCTGCTGCACCCTCCTCGTGGTCCTCTCTTGCATCCTCATCACCACCCTCGCCTTCTCCCCCTTCACGCCACCCACGCCGCAATGGGACCCTCCACGCACACCCTCCCACGCCGCAATCGCCATCCGCGAAACCGTTATGCTCCCGGACCAGGCCCTCGTTTTCCTAAGCTACCCCCCCTCTTTCCCCTTCCACACCCAACGCGACCTCCTCTGCCTCCACTTCAACGCTGACTCACTCCGCACGCTCTCTCAGCCCCCGATTCAAGTCCACCTCGCGCGCCTCCGCGACCAGATCGTGCGGTGCGCGCTCCCTCCACGTGGCAACACGCTGTCCCTCGTGATCAAATCGAAACGCGTCGTTCAGCTTCAACCGCAGGCCTCCTCGGTTTACAAGTGGACCCCACTAGTCTACGAAGCCTTCTTCGACCGCGACAACACCACAATAGTGTTCGTCAAGGGCCTCAATCTTCGGCCCGAGAGACTCATCGAACCCTCCAAATTCAAATGCCTCTTCGGCTGGGATTTCACCAACCCCAAATTCGTATTAAAATCCAACGCCATATCCGCCGCTCAGGAAATTATAAGGTGCAAAACACCAAAAAGCATTTTAACCGACCAGGCCCAGGCCCAAGCCCAGGCCCATGCTCAGTCCATCAAAGTGACCATCCAAGTCGACGAAAGAGAAATACTCCCCTCCATAGGCCGGCCCGGGCTTCGTCAACTGAGAAACCCACCGAGGCGAAAAGCCCATGAGCTGTGTATATGCACCATGCTGCGCAACCAGGCCCGGTTCATAAAAGAGTGGATCATGTACCACACAAGAATCGGAGTCCAACGTTGGTTCATATACGACAACGACAGCAACGATGATATAGAAAACGTGATCTCATCTCTAAAAAGCATCGGTTACAACATCTCGCAACACCTATGGCCGTGGGTGAAAACCCAAGAAGCCGGGTTCGCGCACTGCGCCCTCCGGGCCCGGGCCTCGTGCGAGTGGGTTGGGTTCATCGACGTGGACGAGTACTTCAACGTGAAGATAAAAGGGGGCCTGCAGAGCGTGATTTGGCACCACGCGAGGCACGGAAGGAACGTGGGAGAGATTAGGACTCGGTGCTACAGTTTCGGGCCTTCGGGCCTGCGACAAGTGCCGCGGGAAGGGGTGATGGTGGGGTACACGTGTCGGTTGAGGGCAAGTGAGAGACACAAGAGCATAGTGAGGCCTGAGGCGCTGAACCAGAGCCTGATCAATGTGGTGCACCATTTTCATCTGCGTGAACCGTTTGTGTCGGTGGACGTGGAGAAAGGTGTGATGGTGATTAACCATTACAAGTATCAAGTGTGGAAAGTGTTTAAGAAGAAGTTCCAAAGGAGGGTCGCGACCTACGTGGCGGATTGGCGTGAGAAGCAAAATGCTGAGTCCAAAGATAGGGTACCCGGTTTGGGGACCAAAGCGGTCGAACCGGTAGGTTGGGCGAACCGGTTTTGTCAGGTTAGGGATATGGGGTTGAGGAACATGGTGATGAGGGAATTTTTAGACCGACGCACCAGTTTTCTACCTTGGCAACCAGAGTTTGAGCATCAATTTAGAAGAAAACGAAGGCGAAAGGTGAGAAAGCCTATATGATCCCACCGTTTTATTAGTCCTATATTTTTTTTGTACTTTTTTTTTTCAATTTTTTTATTTACTTTATTTTTTTTTTGCTCCATATATGTAGATATGATAGATACATGGTAGTTTATTTTGTACATAGATATCAAGTGATTCACAAAAAGTTAAATAAAAATAAAAATAAATCAAGTAATTACATTTTTTTTAATGTACAATTTGAATAAATATTTGTAGAATCTAATGGGCACATCTTAATAAGATGATCTATATTAATGATTTTTTTTTCTTTTTCTAAAGATTAGAAAGACATTAAAGATGATTATAATGATCAAATTTAGATTTTTTTAAGTTGTTTCCAATTACTTTAATCTCTTCATTTCAATTAAGGATGACAATAGAGTAAAACATATAAGTTTTGAAATTTTCGTTCTCGTTTGTAAGTTTATAACATATATCTTTATTTTATTTTTATTTCATTAAATAAGCAACTGACATGATACTATTAAAATATATGATTAGTTGTTGGTGTAAAAAAAACTTTACACCAGTAATGTGTGGATGATTAACTCTTTCTAATATTTGACAGATATAAAATTTATGTCTCATCTTTACCTCCATCAAGTATCGAGTATATTCATAATTGTCTTCATATATCCATGCTCATAAGTTAATTAAATATATTTTTTTTAAAAGAAACAAGAATTTCAATATAAAGTAGTAATTACGAAAATTACATTAAGTTTCATCAAACATGAATTTAAAATAAAGTAAGAATTACATAAATTTTGAATAAATTCAAAAAAAATTAAATTAAATTCCTAAAAATTTAAATTGATTAAGTATATACTCGTCTCCATACTTGATTTAATTAATCAAGTATTATCTTTGTGCAATCAAATTGAGTATTTCTCTTTAAAGTCGAGACAATTGTGAACATTATCTATGGTACAAGTTTATTTGTCATCTCTACCCTCAACCTTTAAACCGACTCTAATGGTATAATTATTTTTTTTTTAATTATTGTGATAAATAATATTAATATTTTAATACAAAATGAAGTTTGGGGAAATCATTTTTATACCTTATATTTTCATTCAAGACCCGTATGGTGTTGCAAATGCGATAGTTTTCCTATCTTATTATAATTAATTGTTTGTTGCATTAATAATATATGATAGTCTTGTTCAACTCCTTACTCTACCATATCACGTTGATTAAGTATATTTTTTTGTTTATTTTAAGAGAACAACTAGGTTAGGAAAGTAACATGATGTGTGTGTAATATTTACTGTATATACACTAATAGATATTATATTCACAAAAAAAAAAAGTAGATATTGTTAAATAATAAAAAATTGTAAAATTTGTCAAGTGAAACATGTGTGTACTAATAGATATTATATTCACAGAAAAAAAAATAGATATCAATAAATAGCAACAAAATATAAAATTCGTCAAGTCAGACATGTGTGTGTGTGTAATTTGTCGAGTGAAATGTATGCTACACATTCAATTTTTTATAAAATACAAATTCAACTATTCCAATCATTGATATTATTAATTTGATCAAATATACAAAATTGCATACAATTATAAGATTATTTGAGGATTTATTATATCACTTATTTTAATATATAAAATGATATTCAAAATACATATAAATATATATCATTAGATAATATATCTAGAAGAATTTAAATCATTTAAAATTTGATATGCATAACTTAAAAAAAAAACATTATTATCGTAATTAATATTGTTTTTATTCACAATAAAAATAGCCACCATAACTTTTATTGACAATTAAATAACGACCTGGGTATGCAATGTTGGTAAAAGTTTTACTTTCAATAAATAAGAGTTTTTTTTTTATTTTGTAGAAACCTTATTTGTGGTACTGTAGAAAATATGCATGAATTTTAGTGGCAATATTCGCGGCATTTAAGATGGCCAGTAAAAATACTTTTTATTTACTTTTCTCTACTCATTTCGTAGCTGTTAGTATGACTACTAAAAGTTCAAGAAAGCTAAAACCTGATGAATCCAATAATATGTTTGTCTGTTATGACAAGAAGGAAAGACGACCAAAATGAACGGGGTATAAATTCTCATTGCTTTTTCTTCTTCCACATTAAATGAGGACATTCCAAATCTTTATAGAAATCAAGAGCAAAAATTATTTGCAACACAAATACAGTTGGGTGGACGTCTATTAATTCCAACACGTGAAGTTTAGTTACAACAGTGAAAATTATTTACAATTAACACATATTAATTTCTCTTTAACAACACATGCAAATAAAGTTATACATGTTTATTAATTACAATAGGTAGAGTTTAGTTACAAGAGCATAAAAAGCTAGCAAACATAATTGTGATAGTTTGGATTTGTCAGGTATATCATTATTCTGATATAGAAATTAAAGTAGTCCTATCCATAACATAAGAGTGATTCTAGTAAAACTTCTATCTCTCTTTCTAGTAAAACTTGCATCTCTCTTTCAAGTCAGTCTTATATAATAGAAAGATTATATCTTTTTATCTTATTAAATCAGATTTATATTTATCATTTAACACATAAAACTTTTTCATGATATAGATTATATTTTTCTTTTAGTATGTTTAAATCAATATCCTTATGGTGTGTTTGGATCGATGAAGAATTTTATAAATTCAAGGAATTTAAAATTCTTGGTATTTAAATTATTTTAATTTCAATTTTTATCATTATTAAAATATTTTGTTTGAATAAGTCAATTCAATTTTTTTAAAATTTTAAATTGTTAATTTGGATATAATAATTTGATTCTACCATGGTAAAATTGATTTTAAAAATATATTTATATGTTGATATTTTTAAATAAAATTTTATAAAAATAAATATTAGCCAATTTTAAATATTTAATAATTTAAAAAATTAATATTAGATAATATTTAATAATTTTTAAAGTATTTTTGAATATTCAATAATTAAAAATATGAAGAGATAAGATAAAATATATAAGTAAAATAAGGAAAAAAAAATGAGGAATTTCAAATTCTTACTTTTTTGGGAGAATTTAAAATTCTACTATTTTAAGAAATTTCACAAATGCTTGGATTTCAAATTCTTTGTAAATTCTCCATCCAAACAAAGTATTTCACCTCAAGGAATTTAAAATTCTTCAAACAAATGAATTACTCCATTTAAATTACCCATCCAAACACACTCTTAATGATAAGTATATTATTTTGTGGTCTCTTAGGCCAGCCCATATGCTTGGGGAGATGCAAATTCATTATGGACCAAATGTTAACATGAGAATTGACCCCATGTTATCGATCACTGGTTGATCAACCATGTTAGGGGGGATTGACAACAATCTTATGAGGGTATATCATGTCAATTGGCCATAGGTAGATCGATTGGTCAAGAACTTAGAAGGGTACACAACCCTCATTACAAGAAATGTTACATATAGAGACATACAAAAAGTGTCACTATAGGTACAATATATGTAGGTATATGTCTATTTGACATATAATTACGCACAATTTTAGTGTTGATTTTGGATGAGATTTAACAACATATTTTGTGTGTCACTATAGTCTATATCCACACCTTTTAATAATATACCAACATATATTGTAGTTATTGTGTCAGTAAAAATAATTTTTAGTGACATGTATAGTGTCACTATATGACAATTTTGTTGTAGTGCCTTCAACCTTTAAGTTTTATAATGCAAAAAGGCTATGGTGCTTGAAGACAAATGATTTATAGTTGTTTTCTCATACACAGGATATGTAAGCCTAGGAAGCAATACCCTTCCAAGATCCTTAGCGCGTAAAAGACACCAATAGTGTTTTTGAGTGGTAATGTTAAATTAATTCCAAATATATTGATTTATTTTTAACATAGTCTTTAAATGCACACGGGGCCACATTTTAAAATGAGACATTTTCGTTCAACTTGTCATCACACATTTCATGGGTTTTTCTCACGTGTTTCCCCAGGTCATTATATGTCATGTGCATGTCTCCATGTCACGCTGTTAGGACGTCTCTTCGTTATCAATTATTGATAATGATGGCACTTCGTTTGATAGTGGTTGCCCTCTTAAATAGGTGTGGTTGGCCTTTTTTCTGTAGTGTACCCTTTATTCTTCCTTCTTGCTTTTCTAAGGCGACTTCCAACATGGTGAGGTGATTTTCGGTGCAGTGAGACGATTTTTTATGCTGTGTTTTTCAACTTTCTAGTGTGGCAATGTCATCATTTTGAAATGTCCTAGTTCTCTAAAGTTATCCATTCACTCATACTTTCTTTACTTTTTAGTGGTGGACATGGATGAGGAAGTGTTATACTCCTGGTTTAAGCCAAAAGTTTGAACGGAGGAATCCATATATACTAAATAACCAGAGATAATTTATCTTCATCGTAATCAAGGTTTTACATCAAATGGACTGGAAGCCAATTGAACCTTGCTTGGCAAGTGAATCAATGTGTCATGGTTGAGAAGGGAATGAAAAGTCCTTGCTTGGCCCGACTCAACTTCATGCAATATAGTTGGGCTTTTATTTGTAGTTTTGAGATTTTATGTAAGACACTTATCATAACATTGAGTATGAGAATTTTTTTTTACTTTTTTGAACTTAAAAATTCTTGAAAAATAGAACAAGAGGCATAGTTTTATGGTTTGGTAATTCCCTTTATTTTCATATATCAGTATAGAAGCTATACATTCAATATATAGGGATTTTTTTCCTAAACTTATGTTCCCCCATTTAAACTAATGGGCTGTTTATAATTAATATACTAGAATCATATCTTTACAAATTCTAAAATAGAAAGACTTTACATAATTGACAATCAATTAGCGATAATTCAACACTTTCCCTCAAGTTGGTGCATAAATGTCACACATGCCCAACTTGACTAAAAATGTAGAAAATATTTGATTTGATGAGACTGGTTTAGTGAGAATATCGGCCAACTGATCCTCTAATCAAATTTTAGGCAACTGCAAAATGTTCTCATCCAGTTTTTCCTTTATAAAGAATCTGTCTACCTCAACATGTTTTGTACGATCATGCTGAACAAGGTTATGGGCAATATCACAAGCTTATTGTCACAATACAATTGAATTGGTTGTTGAGATGGATATCCCAAATCAATCAAGAGGTTTCTTAACCATAATGCTTCACAAAGAGTTAGAGCCATACCTCTAA